TACTAACATCTGTTTTTAAAAAAGATTATGAATGGTTTTTATTTTAAATATTAATTATTTATGTTTATTTACACTACTTATTAATATAAATAAATAAAGACACTATGTATTTTATTTTTTGTAGAGTTTATAATTTTAATAAATATTATTATGTGCTGTAATAAATTTTATTATTGGTTATATGATTACTACTAGAAAATTTTACCAATTGGTTATTTGACCATAAATTGACCTATAAATTGACCATAAATTGACCATAAAATTGACCATAAAATTGACCATAAATTGACCATAAATTGACCATAAATTAACCATAAATTAACCATTAATTGACCATTAATTTACCATTGATTGACTATAAATTGACCATCGATTGACCATAAAATTAACTATCATTCATTACCAATCGGTCACCAATCGGTCACCAATCTGTCACCAATCTGTTACCAATCGGTTACCAATCTGTCATAAATCTGTCACCTATCTGTCAACAATCAGGCAGCCTGATAGGTGACTGATTGGTGTCGGATTTTGGCGGAAATCAGGTATCAATCGGGCAGCCCGATTGGTATTAGATTGGTAAAATCAGGCATCAATCAGGCATCAATCAGGCACCCGATTGGTGACTGATTGGTGACTGATTTGACACTTTTCGACCTGTGTTACTTGCCCGACGAATGATCTGAACTAACTTATCCCTAGCAAGTCCCAAGGCTTGTAGAGGGTCATTCTCATCACTAATCTTCTTTATAATCTGTCTGTATAATACACTGGATAATCCTCTATGTGCTGTTTTTGGAGTGATTATTCCACAGTTTTGGCACTGGTTTATTACGATTGATGTTGACATGGCTATCTTTCTTTATGTAAAAAAGAATTATTCAAAATTAAGTAACTATTCGGAGCAGTCCTTGCACAACTTGTCCGTTAAGTCATTTGGGCTTACAGGCATGAGACATTCCCTATACAACTCAATATTAAGCTCTGTAAGTCTCGGGGCATGGTCTTTCAAAGTTCGTGGATGACCAGAAGGACCGGAGGAAGGTGTCCCGTTAGTCGTATCCTGCTGTAAGATAAAATCATCATATTCATCTTGGTCAGCCTGAATAGCAGTCCTGATTTGTTGTATATCATTGAAAGTTAACTGCTGCCCATCAAGATTTTCCTCATTATAGCGTATTTCATTGATAATTTCCTCTATAAGCGCCTCTTCTTCATAATGGACAAGGTAGTAATCCTCAACTACCTCATAGTCACTCTCAATCAGTCTATGATATGTTCTAGTACCACGTCGAACATAACGTCCTGTATCTGTATTTAAATATACAGGTTGCTCCTCAGGTGGAGGTGCAGTTTGTCTACGAACAAGCCTTCCATCAATATAATCATGGGATTCCATAACTATTCGATTAAAGGTATCTCCACCGATAATAATTGGACGTCCAGTTATAGGGTTAGCTATATAAGGGTAAGACATGTCTTTTTTCTGTATATGTCTACATACAGTACCTAATGGTTTTCTTCAATTTATAATAACCAAGTAACATGGTCATCAGTCCTTATCAAAAAATGCAAGAATACCTGATGATTAGGGTTGGATCGGTCCTAGCAAAGACCGGTCCTGCGTCAGTCTTGGGACCAGTCTTCACGGTCTTCAGTCCGAGATCTGAGGACTGGTCCAGACCGGAACCGATCTTATATTATTAATATCCAATAAAAATGAGCCAAATTTTTGTGCTCATGTACTTCTAGGGCACGTTTTTTGCCAAAACCGATTATCAGTTCAGTTTTTAACATTTTCGCAACGTTTTTTATTAAAAAAATGTGCGAAAACCTTTTTTTCGTGAAATTATTAATAAAAAACGTTTTTGTAACATTTCCTATTAATAAAATAATTAAAAAACGTGCAAAAACGTTTTTTTATTAAATTACTTAATAAAAAACGCTGCAAAACGTAAATTACTTAATAAAAACGTTTTCGCAACGTTGTTTGTTAAAATAATTAAAAACGTTTGCGAAAAATGTTTTTTTTTTATGAACTTATTAATAAAAAACGTTTTCGCAACGTTTTCTATTAAAATAATTAAAAAACGTTGCGAAACGTTTTTTATTTGTTAAATTACATGTTAAAAAATGTTTCGCAACGTTCTTTAATGTTTTAGAGGTCTTAAAATCATGGGGACAAAATTTCTTGAATTTAAATTGGTCCGGTCCCGGTCCGGTCTGGTCCAGGTTGAAAGACCGGTCTTTTTGGAACTGGACCGGACCAGACCGGACTGATCCAACCCTACTGATGATAAGGTTATATGGTCATCAGTTCTTATCAAAAATGCAAGGATACCTGATGATAAGGTTACATGGTCATCAATCCTTGTCTAAAAAATGCAAGGATACCTGATTAATAAGTTACTGGGTTATTGGCCTAGAATGCATTCATGGAAAAACTATGGATTATATTACAGAAAATGTGAACTGAGTTCATGTCACGTGATACCCTGAACAAATGTGTAGAGTGTCACGTGATTTCATGCGGTACGTAGATCATTTCCTTTTTGGGCGATACCCGTTCCACAAAAAAAATCGATTTTGGTAAGAATGCGTTTGGAACCTTGTGTAACATAAATTTCCTTTTTCGGTAATTCGAGATTACGAACATAATGCCGGCCGGATCTATACACGTGACATCCAACGGACATCCGGGAGGTGTCAGGTGGGTTTACACTTATAATATAAAAAATATAAATCTGCAAGTACAAAATGCTTACTCCTGTTGAGTCCATTCATTCCACTCCCAGTCCAGTCCCCAAGGATCGCCTCCCCATCTATGTTCACTTAATGCATGCTCTATGGTTTCCCTCTCTTGAGGGTTCACGACCATCCCATTCCTAAGCATTTTCTCCATAATATAAAGCTGATCCTCGGTGAGGCGGTCTATCCATCTTTTATAGAAGTCGTTTACATCTTCAAATGTTATCCAGTCAATATTCCCTTTTTCAAATGGCTTTCCAAGAGCTCAGACATACCCGATCGTAATGGCATAATTTTTCCACCTCTTATATGCCTCTCGACGAACTTCCTGCCACCACACTCTATCTACCTTACTTGCTGCAATAAGGTCAGTATCCAGGATTTTTGCGACAATGCGTTCAACTATTTCTACTGGTAACCGGTCCAACATGATGTTATGTTACTTATACTATAGCTATCTTCAAATACTGTATGCCCATTACACATGGATAAAAAATATAGACTAAATTCGTACAGGATCGCAGGACCGCAGAAGCCGCTTATGCAAGAAGTTCTGCTAAGGTTTTCTCAGCCTCATTTACAGTGATAGCCCGCTTTGGAGGACCGGTTGATGAGTCTTTAGTCACATCATAATACAACTCGAAGAGGGCCTCAAGTTTGTCTAAGAGAGCTTGTTTATTCTTGTATGATTCACGAATCTTTGCTATCTTAGCAGTATATGCTGCATTATCTGGGAAGAGTTTTCTGGCCACGAACTTCACATATGATACAGGAGACTTTGCCGTCTGGATTCTCTTGATATACTTCACATGATCCTGGACAAGGTAGCTGGTTTTGCTAAACCCAGATACTAATGCGACTACTATAGTGTCTTTCAATGCACGGATAATCTTGAGGACAGTTTCATCAGAGACAATGGTGAACTGATTGTGTGATGCATCATAAATAACTTTATCACTAATGCTGTCAGTGCTGTTAATAATGCTTGCTAATTCGGTATATGTTGACATGATTCCTTATACTTTTTTGTACTTTGTAATAAATAGGAATCTTCAAATTGACTTTACATTCAAGCAAGAAAAAATATATATACCTACTGTAAATCCAACCGCATTCTTGGCAATCATGTCCAGATAACCTTGTTTGCATTTTTCACATGGCAGTATCCTGCGGTTTCAAACTTGAGAGCTTTCAATGCTTTGGATGCATTTTCTGGACAAGTGATAAGTGTAGGACTACTCGGCTGTTCCTCTAGAATAAATCCATCTGTATGGATGCGTCGTACTTTATCCTTATATGGTTCTAATAACTCTGAAGTCGTCTTCCGTCCATGTGCTAATAAGAATGGAGCGATCCTAGGATACTCACCCTTGAAGGGACTACCTGGGTTTGTGAACTGGAATCGCCACTGGTCAGATCCTACTGGTACGATGGAGTCAAGTGTGTGGCCTTCTGGAAACTTGAATGGATCTGTTTGATCTGTGGTGAGTGTCTTGTAATTGCGTTTCCTCTGGCAGAGTGCTCCCCATAGTGTATTGAGAACTCTCTTTGCAACACGACCGGCCACGCCACCCTGGTTCTTTATATTGAAGAGAAAGTGGACATACTCACCAAATATTACAGTCCCAGGAATTCTTGCTTCTCTGTCATATATCAAGGCATTTGGCTTTCCATCCTGGATTAACTGTATATCGAGTCCAAGTTTCTTTGCTCGTTGTAAGTCAATGAATGTATAGACTCCCCTCTTATTCTGTCGGAAGAGAATGTCATTACCACTTACCTTGCCCTTGGGCGCTCCCTGGGAGCTAGCACGAAATAATCCATACAAGGCATAACCTCTATGGTCTACAAAGTCTTTGAGTATTTGAAACTTACCTTGTCGGATTGGAAAGTTTGCATTTGATTGCTGAATACTTGGATACAAACTTGTCACGTCGTATTGCCTTCCATAGCCCTTCCATTCATTGTCTGCCCAGATAAGACCTCCCATCATTGCATCACTTATCCACTCTGCTTCGACTGGGTCAAGAGGATCATTGGCTGGAACCCCTACACTAAACCGTTCAAAAAGCCAGAGTGCAGTTCTCTTGTACGACCAGTTGTGGTAAGATAAGTCGATTCCTAGACCGAACTTCTTTGTAGCCTGTAGGAAGGAATCCCGCTCTTCATGGATCCTCTGGTATGTTTCCTCAAGTGTTTCATATATTCCAGTTTTACAATTCTTCTCGATAGGGATGAAGGAGTAACTATCAGAGTTCTTACCTTTCTGAAACTGTCCAACTGTAAGAGACTTAACTGTCTTACCATTGTATATTGTTACTACATTATTAACCCCATCTTCACGATAAACAAAGGGAGACTTTTGTTTTCTATCTAATTTGCTAGGGTGGAGTCTTCCGGGATTCAGTGCAAGAGAGTAGTGGCCTTCAGACAGGATAAGTGTTGCACGTCTGTCAGATTTGCTCTTGGAAATTCGAGTGGAATCCCCTACAATATTAAGTGCAAGGCTTCCTGCAAGTTGTTCAACCTTATCCATATATGAGACTGGAACTGGAGCATCACGATTGAGACCTAATGCCTTTTTGATATACTCGGGCTTTTTGACAGACTTTGGCATTTTAGAGAATGTGCCGTAGATATATTTCAGGCATTCATACAGGCAATCATTTAGCTCCCCGTTGCAACCCCCTGCAACCGGTGGGGCATCTCTCACATAAATTATGAATCGTTCAAAATAATCAGGGTCTGCATCATCCGGTAGTTGTGCTTCGTCGTAGTGGTCCAAGAGTGAGAAGAGGCTGGCTGGTTGGTTTCCTGATGTCCATCCACCGGGTTTCCAGTTTTCATAGGGAAGCAGAATCTGAAATTTATGTGTCAGATACCGGGATTGGAGTTGCTGTCCAAGTCTGGCAATAGCTCCTCTAGAAAATCTTGCGCCTGAATACTGTAGTTCTTTGATATCTGGTCTTGTAGGTAAAGCACGTGCAATTTTTGAATAGGCCATTTGATATAACTATGAATTGTATTCAATTGTAATATAGGTTTTTTATATAAAAAATATAAGATAACTAAGAGGCGCTTATCTTATTAAAAGGAGTCAATCATATCACAGGCCTCATCAATATCCAACTCGTCTACAAATCCATTAGCAGCCTCCCACTGGCATTCCATCTCGGTCTTTGGACGCTCCTCTGGGATTTCTCATGCCTTACCCGTATTCATCTTTATAGTTTCATAACCAGATGTAGTAGGGATAATCTCGGCATCACGATCCTCCTTGTATACTCTTATTAGATCTGCGAGTTCTTTACGGCTAGGTGTTTTAGGTAAGTTCCTATTATATTCGATCTAGTCCTTGAAGTGGTCTACTACCTCCCTAAAGTATTACTGGTACTTGTTTTCAATACGTGTTGTGGGACATTCCTCTACTTCAAACGCGAGTATTTCCCAGTCATAGTCGTCTGACGCGTCTTGGTACTTAGCCCATAAATCCTTACCTGTATTGTAGAGATCATTGAAGACCTGGTCCTTTGAATTCTTGACCCATGGCTTACGATTCCATCGGTGTCTTTTATGCCAAGCCCAGTGTGCTTGAGTACCTTCCTTTGGTTTGGGATCCCAGTCGACTTCTGGTTCTGTGTCAGGTTCTGGGATAGATTGCTCTTCGGGAGTCAGTTCTACTACAGGTTCTGTAGAAGATTTGGAATCTGCGAGGGATTCAGATTTTGCAGAAGATTCTGCAGGAGACTCAGGTTGTTGCTCAGAAACTTGGTCTGCAGTTGTAGGATCTGAGTCAGATAGCAAGTCATCTAAGATGTCGTAGTCATCAACAGCTTTAAGTGCAGGTTCTTCAGCAGGCGGCTCATCTTCTTGATCAGGTTCCTCATCAGATAGATAACAGTCTGAGAAACTGTCTATAATTTCATCAGTATTTGACTCTATGGGAGCTGGAGGTTTTTCAGGGACAGAATCCTCTTTGATGACAGGTGCAGGTTTTACCTTCAAGCAATCAGGTTTAGGTGGTACTGGTGGAGGAGCCTTTTTGGCAACTGGTTGCTCTTCAGTAGGTTTTTCTTCAACAGTTTTCTCAACAACTATTTCCACTTTCTCTTGATCTACTTGCGATTTACTAGCTGTATTATATATATTTGCTAAGAACTTTACCAAGGCATTTGGATCAGATGCGTGCTTCTCAGGAGTTTCTACATCTATTCCTTCTATATTGATTTCATCTGTTTCATGAATCCATTTTTTGGTGAGAAACTTCTTGTAAAGGTCCTCCCTGGATATGCTGTAAACTCGTGGTGTTGCCTTACCTACACGTATTTTTCTGCTATTTATACCCAACTCATTTGATAGGATTCTAGAAGCTTTTATCTTTGATAGGGGTGTAATGCAATGAGTTTCACAGTATGAAGTATATACCCTATAAAATTCTTGAACAGGTAGGTCAGTTATATGATTTTTTACTATGAGGTAAGTGTCCTTTATGAATTGAAATAGGGGTGGGAGAGTCGATATGATGTGATCCTGCTTAGATGTTGTCATAGGTGGTGGATTTTCATTGAAGTCTGGGTAAGTGTCTGCAATGGCTCTCAAGTAAGCATAGAATGCCTCACTGGCACCTGGGTATTTCATAGCGTCACTGAGTTTCTTAAAGTAGTTGAGGTCTCCCTTGCGGAATGGTGACACATCCAAGAATACTGTGCGCCTATCGTCATTCTCCACTCTGAGAGCATTTTCATTGGTGAGTACAATGGTGGATATAAAGTTTTTGTAATGTGTTGGCGTCTTGTATTTTTCATGGATTTCCATTATGTCTCCTGTTACCTTATCCTTCAATGATCGATACAGATTATTCCACTGGCTTTTTTCTGTGGGCATTTCCTCGAGAAGAAGAAGAACCTTACCCTGTAATTGCCCATTGAAACTTCCAAGAATTGTCTGAGGATCGCTGGTCTTATAAACAAGTTGAGTACCTAAAACACTACGTTGAATGAAATCTGTTATAATACTCTTACCCCAACCCTGTCCAGATTTCAGGTAGAGAATCGAATACATTTTCCTTCCAGCTGTCACACCGGCCAACCACTTTATGATATACTCAGTAAGATTCCAATCGCCTGAACACCAGATATTCTGAATGTGGGAGAAGATAAATTTAACTGCCTGATGGGTTGTAGACTCAAAAGTGGATATCGGACGCAGGATATGGAGAAATCCTGGGAAGATATTGAGATAAAGTTGGCCACCTAGTTTAAAGATACGGGATTTTTGAGGGTTACAGGTAGCTACACATACAGTACTATATTCGATCATAAACCATTTGTTGATATTGAATTCAACCTTTTGTGAAGGACCTTGTTCGGATTGTGTGTAAAAGACTTTGGTAATTGGACGGATAAGTTTACTAATATTTTTATCAGGGATGTGCTCGAGGTTTTTGATTTCTGACCGCCACATGAAGACTCCATGCGGGTTGGAGCAGGGGATAAAGTAACTGCAAAGATAACCTTTAGCTTGATTGAGATCCCTCATATTCTTTGCAGCATTAATGAGCCGTTTAAGCTCATTAATACTAAAAGCCTTCTTCTGTTCACCGAATTTGGGGATAACTTGAACTTGAGTGCTAGTTTGGGCAGTCATTTTTTGTTCTATCAAATCGAGTACTAATTTATAGTTACCTAATCTTCAATTGCCGAATATTTTTTCCAAAGATCTGCACTCCTACCTGGTTACCCTCCTGTAGTCCTGCGGTCCTGCGGTCCTCCGATCATACCCGGTTATTTTCTAGAGGTAAAAAAAAAAACTATAAACCACAAACCTTTACGACTGCTCTAAATCTTCCCTTCCCCTTTTTCAATCCACATATATCTAGTGAAATCCACACCGCTCAATAGTCCACCTTACCATACAATGCTCTTTTCTAGCTTCCGATAACTCTTTACAAGCCTTTTGATACGCCTTCCAATTAAGCTCATGAAGTTCACGATTTCCAATACCCTCCTCCTCAAATGATTGACCAAGATCATCCCCCGCTTTTTCCTTCTTTTCTACTGCCCTGTCGTATGCCTCCTCGGCTTTCTCATGCCGCTTTCACAACTCGGCTTTACAATAGTTGTACCAGAGTCTGTTTATCTTGAGATGCTTTCTGAATTCTTTGACCGGAAGGTTTCTGACCATCTCTCTTACTATGTCCGGGTCGTTGAGGGGCGATGCCTGCATTTGGATCCATTTATGGATTCCATAGATGTCTACAAGATCGAGACCAAGATCTTTGGCAAGAGAAGTAGCTGCGTAAAAAAAAAAGGAAAAAAAGAAACGTACTCCACTCACCCATAATAATCCACTAATAAAAAATTATTATTATTAATTTACGTACAGTATCTATTACTACGCTTTGTACAAGTATGATATTGAGTGTTTAATACCTACAGTAAAGTGTGTAAGTTCATCATTGTATGTTACTTATGGTATACCCATTGTTCAATTACTTATTTTTTCTGATGGGGGCTGGACGGGGTTGGTCTTACTGGCTTTATAGACCTCCTAGGGGCTTACCTGTTAATCTACCTGGTTTGCTGTCTCACTGCTTCCAACAGATTATTAGACGGAATCCTGACTTGTTCCAGATGTTCCGGATGTGGTGGATCTGGGGGGGTAAAAATAAAACTTTTTCTGGGGGGATGTCCTCTCATAATTTTTCTGAAACATCTGCCACATCTGCCACATCTGGGACAACCCTCTCATTATATCCGTTATTGCTTCCTTTTCTATTGTTTTCTAGTTATTTGGTATATATATTTGTTCCAGATGTTGTCCCAGATTGTGGCGGATATATGGGAATTCCTGAGCCCCGTAGGGGCCATATAGGTACTGCGACGGGTCGTAGACCCGGAGGTGGGTGGTGCTTGCACCTCCCACATCCAGCCCGATGACCATATTATAGAATAATATATAATATTTCACATTTTTTTACGATTTGAATAACAACGCCAAACATGTCCAAAAGTTTCTTTCTTTCGTTCACAAACAGGACATTTCCAATAGGGATTGGAATCGATTCCCATTATTGGAATCGATTTTAAAATTGATTAATCGCGATTAATCATTTCGCAAATATCGATTTTAAGATTCGATTTTCGATTTTTGATAATCGAAACTAATCGAATTTATATTTCACAAAAAATACAAATTACGGTGCAAATTTATAATTATACTTAAAAGATTATTTATAATAATAGAATTTTTATATTTTAATGAATTTATTTAATTAAAAGTAATATAATTTGAGAATGTCAAATTCACTGATCACACCCACGTTTTTGATTGGTTACGCGATTACATCATCATCAATAAATGTTTATTTGTTTATTATTTCTAGTACTTTCCCAACTTTAAACCCTTCGCTCAGCTGGTATGTTTTTCTTTTTTTTTCTTTTATTGTTTTTATATTTTATTTCTTGCTAACTTTATTTTATTCTCTTTAAGTTCTTACTCCTTTCAGTCTTTTGCTCTTTGCAATTAAGGTGTGTTTAGTATTACATAGTCACGATTTTTTGAAGTTATTGTTTTTTTTTTATTTTGTCTCTTACACTTCGTTTCTTATATTTTGTTCCTTACATTTCCTTTCTAACTTTATTTTGTTTTCTTTTAGATCCTTAGTTCTTCTCGGTGTATTCTTTCTTTTATTTTTTTTTTATTATTTTTTTTATTTTGTCTATCATATTTCGTTTATTTTATGGTTTTTATTTGGTCAGTTGGTTTCCTTCATTTTTTTATTCCCTACTATTTTTTTATCTTTTGTTTCATTTGTTACTTTTATTTCCTTAATTTTTCATTTCTTTTTCACTCCACTTCATTTTTTTTCGTTCCTTTTTGCTCGTCCCTCGTTTCTTTCACTCCTTTTCACTCCCCGTGTTTTATATCGCGTATGCAAATGATTAGAAATTGACAGAGAAGTTGGCAAATTTTTTTCTGTCTTTAAGTGGGCTGAAAATATGTTATAAAGGCCTTCATTTTCTTTTGTTCCTTTCATTTCCCTTCATTTTTTTCATTCCTTTTCATTCCTTCATTTTTTTCGTTCCTTTTTATCCCCTTCATTTTTTTCATCCCTTTTTCACCTCTCTTTTGCTTCTTTCATTTTTTTTACTCCACCTTTGTTTCTTTCATTACTTTTTATTCCTCTTCATTTATTTTGTTCTTCCCTTCACTTCTTTTGTTGATCTTCATTCATTATTTTTTTCATTATATTTTGTTTCTTACTCTTCTTTTTGTTATTGCACATTTTCTTCGTTTTATTTTCATTATTTCTGTTATTTCCATAAATAAATAAATAAATAAAAATTGTTAATATTTATATTTTTAATCAATAAAACGTATCTTTAATTAATAAATTATTATTATTATCATTATATACGTGTAAGTATTTAGTTTAGAAGCTATAGAAATTTTTCGACGTTTTAAAGCATCTGCAAATAAAAATTTCATTACATTTTAAAAGTTACTTTAAAAAAAATTTTTGATATTTTGATTACAAATGATGTAATACATATTATTCTAACAAAGAGTTCGTCTGCTTCATCACGTAATGATGTAATACTTCCTTGTTTAATACTGCAAAATGCTAACTTGTGTCATTAATAAACATTTATTAACGATACTGCGCCACAATAAATAGATTCGATTTTTATTCAATAATCGATTTAAAATCGATTTTTGTCGATTTTCGATAGATACGATTTTAATCGAATCTTTTCCAATCCCTAATTTCCAATCCTTATATATATCAAAATTGGATAATTTACGATGTTCTACGGTCGGAATTTCTTCGATTAAATTTTAGATCTTATAACGACATCTTTTCGTAGTACGGAAATTAGTTTGTAAAGCATTTTCATTTTCCTTTAAAAATTCGAATGTAATTGCCCATTCAACACTATCTAAAGTATATTTTCGATTTCTCCAAAGATTAAAAAATTTTTCTAAATTTAAAGTTTCGTTATAATATCATATAAAATGTCTAATCGGTTTTTCGATGATAATATTATTCCATGTAAGCATATATTCTATTTTGTCAAGTTGAAAAAATTAAAATTAACCGAATATAAACTATTCCTATCTGAATATCGATTTTTAATTTGTTGATCTAAAAAATTATGATATATATTATCGCTATGTGCTTTAATTTTCGTGATTGTCGGTATAATTATCTCATGTAAATCTATAAATTGTTGAATTAAAGCCCAAATATAAATGTTATTTTGCGTTTTTAATAATTTACGTGTATTATAAATTTCAGTTTTGCCTATTATTTCATTAAAACAATTTAAGATAAATTCATTATCTGCAATTATTTCGATATTATTAATATTATGAACGATAAGCAACGCGAGTATAAAACTTGTCACTTCTGCTTTACTTGGAGAAATCCAATGTTCAATATTAACGTAAAATTCTTCAATTAATTTATGATCTTTATCGTAAAAATGTAAACCAGCCATTCCATTGATATTTTCTGTCCCATTATTTATAACAGAACCATCTATATATACGAAAATTTGTTCTCCATGTTGTTGTATTAATTTGGAGTTAATAACGTTTAGCCTTTTGATTGTTAAGTTCTTATTAAATTTTTCTTTTTTAACATATTTTTCTATACAATTTTGCGTTGATTTTTGCATATTGAAATCAAAAATATTTAATCTAATATCATGTTGTTTAAAAAGCGTTGGTTCTATAATAAATTTATGTTCATGCCATATATTTGACTCAATGTGTGATTGAATAATATCTGGTACTATATATGAATCAGTTTCTTGTATTATCATTGCATGTGAATTTAAATAATTTTTGAGAAAATAAACATCTTCTATTCTTAATTTAACTAAACAATTACTTTTCTTATATATTCTTTCAAGGTGTCCAAAGTTGCTTGTTTCATCCAAAACACATCCTAAACACTTTTTTAAACCCATAAATAAATCATCTGGGTTATTAACCGTTATATAATGTTCCAATACTATATCATAAGATCCCAAATTATAATTTTTTCCATAAACCAAAATTATATCGTTATGAACCTTCTTTTTTCCAAAAACAAAACCATTATTTATAGGTTCTGAATTCATTTTAGTTGGAATTGTTCCTTTTAAGTTATGAGCGAAACTAATGCCTATTTATTCTTAGCTTCAATAGAAATTTGTCTCTTTATTACTTCATTGTTATCTAAAAGACAATCTTCTATAATTTTCCAACTTTTTTCAATTAAAGATCTATTTGGACTAAAAAATTTTTTAAATCGTTTTCCCAAAATTTCTTTTAACGTTAATAAAATTTTCCCATCTAATGTCAAAATTTGATTTGCAAACATAATATTGAGTTTTTTTATCGATCGTAAATTTTTAAAATAAATTTCTTCAGGTAAAATATCTTTAATTAAAATATTCCCTCCAATTATTTCCATTTTGTCTATTGTATCATTAATAGCAATGCTAAAATTTTGATTCTTAATACTTTTTAATACACTCTAATATATAATGATTTTTTAATTGCGTCATAAAAATTTTTTTATATCTAATAATATCTTTTTCTTTTAATAAATAAATAGGATTATCGTTTAAAAATAACAATTGTTGAAGATTATATAAACGAATTTTTGTGATCATTCCTAATTCATTTTTATCATTGATTTGTAAGATAAAATTAGTTGTTTTTGCTTGTAATTGGTTATCCTCAATATTTTTAACATTAAACATCTCTTTTAAATGAATTATTAAATTTGGTGTAGTTTTCATAAATTTTAACTTATGTTTAAATAAAATACGAAATTTTGCCATAAATTTGTTACATTCTTGTTCTGATAAAATGATTAGTTGTGCTCTATACTCAATTCTTGGTATGATTAAGACATTAAAAATATAAACCATTTGTTTATCTGTTAATTTTTTTCTTAACATCATTGAATCGCAGCAGTTATTAATCTTATGTTTAATTTGATAAATTACATGATTTCTTCTATTGAAAGCATTGAACCAAACTTCTAGAAGTCTAATTGATCCTGTTTGACTAGTAGGTTTAATATTAACTATCGATTTTCCAAAACTCAAAGATAACGATTCTGGGATATATTTTTTTCTTAACAATAATTCAGATTTATCCTTATTAATTTTTATATCATTAAGATTATAAAAGGTGTCAGCAATTGATAAAATTTTTCTAAATTTTCCTGGTTTCCAGCCATGAAATTTGTATCATCATCCATATACGCTAAACCCAGAAAGTTAAAATTAATTTTTTCTTCGATGTTTTCATAAATATTATTAACTTTAACACCATCTATATCATATTCTAGATTTGAGTTCTTGATTTTTGTTAATAAAGGATCGTAGTAAATAATCCATAAAAGCAGCAAAATTATTTCCCCTTGATCAATCCCGCATTGCATATCAAAAGTGTCCGTTAAACCATAAGGTGTAAAAACTTTATTTTTCCGTCTAATCGATAAACCTGTTAATAAATTAATTAATTCTACTGGAAATTTAATTCTTTTCATCACTTTTTCAAGCATAAAAATATTAATCTGATCATAAGCCTTTGACATGTCAAGAGCAAGAATCCATAATTCTTTATCACATTTATTACTATATTGAATTATCTCGTTAATTATCCGTAATGGTTCAAAAGTTGAATTTAGGGGTAAACTCGCGTATTGATAACCTTGCAAAATTTGATGTTCTACTATTATCTTCGAGATACGTTTTGTAATTATTTTCATCATAACTTTTCTAGCTGTTTCCAATAATGTGATTGGTCTAGTATTATTTAATCTATACCATCATCGGGCTGAATGTGGGAGGTGCAAGCACCACTCACCTCTGGGTCTACGACCCGTCGCAGTACCTATATAACCCCTACGGGGCTTAGTAATCCCCCATATATCCTCCACAATCCTCCACATAGATCCTTCACAAAAATATATAACAAAAAAGGATAAAATAAGGGAAAAGAGAGGAAAATAAGAGGGAATCAGAAGAGTGTGGAGGATGTGGAGGATGTGAAGGATGTTTTAAAAATATCAGGAGAGGGATTCCCCCAGAAAAAAGTTTTGATTTTACCCCCAGATCTTCCACATCTGGAACATCTTCCACACATACAGGATTCCGTCTGATTATCTGTATAAGCTAATGAGATAGCAAACCAGGTAGATTAACAGGTAAGCTCCTAGAAGGTCTATAGAGCCAGTAAGACCAACCCCGTCCCGCCCCCATCAGAAAAAATAAGTAATTGAACAATGGGTATACTATAAGTAACCTATAAAAACAAACAACATGTATACCGCAGAAAAGTTAGCAACAATCTTCAGCTGCACAGTCTCTGATCTTATGGCTATCAATAGGGAAATCCTAAAAAGCTGTCAAACTCTGCACGCAGTATCAGTAATCCCCAAACTTGTAAGCCATATCCTGGAACGCATTCCAAGTAGCAATTTCGGGCCACATCTTTTAGAAGTCAGCCCAATCTGGAGAGCCGAAGCTGAACAAGTACTCTGGAAGCGGCATAAAAAAACCGAGGAGGCATACGATAGGGCAGTAGAAAAGAAGGAAAAAGCGGGGATGATCTTGGTCAATCATTTGAGGAGGAGGGTATTGGAAGTCGTGAACTTCATGAGCTTAAATGGAAGGCATATCAAAAGGCTTGTAAAGAGTTATTGGAAGCTAGAAAAGAGCATTGTATGGTAAGGTGAGCTATTGAGCAGTGTGGATTTCACTAGATATATGTGGATTGAAAAAGGGGAAGAAAAGATTTAGAGCAGTCGTAAAGGTTTGTGGTTTATAGTTTTTTTTTTACCCCTAGAAGATAACCAGGTATGATCGGAGGACTGCAGGACTGCAGGACTACAGGAGGGTAACCAGGTAAGAGTGCAGATCTTTGGAAAAAATATTCGGCAATTGAAGATTAGGTAACTATAAATTAGTACTCGATTTGATAGAACAAAAAATGACTGCCCAAACTAGCACTCAAGCTCAAGTTATCCCCAAGTTCAGTGAACAGAAGAAGGCTTTTAGTATTGATGAGCTTAAATGGCTCATTAACACTGCTAAAAGTATGAGTGACCTTGATCAAGCTAAACTTTATCTTTG